GTTCCTCCAGCTCCACACTGTGTTATCCTTGTAAATATTCTGCTTTTACTTCAGATTTCTAGCATTTAAAGGTTTCAGTTTCATCTTGATTCCTAACCTGAGCTTCCACATTCATTAAAGAGAAATGGCTCAAACTGGAAGCAGTACATGGTGCCAGTTCACAGCAGTTTTCGTTGAAAATCTAAATGGTGTGACACTGAAAACTCCAGTGAGTGGTATGTGCTGAAGAAATGGAAAACCAACAAATCACTTCCTAAAGATGTAACTGTTGGCACTGTTGCAGTTTTCAGCAGAGACTCTGGGACCCAATAAATTGATATCGCTTGGAAACAAAATACAATGTCAAAGAGAGCTGCCTCCTCCCAGAAAGAATATTGCAAACATATACAACTTAAGGGTTTGCTTCAGAGAGGTCAGTTGACTGTCAAACCGTGCCCTCATTTTCTCAGGAGCTTAAAGTTTGAAATGTTGTCTTTTTATCAGACATCTGGAATCGAAGGCATCATTATTTGTTTAGTTCACGGTTTGGGACAGGACTGGCTCTATTTCGTTTCTTTCCGACTTTCAACTCCCCCATCCCGGCAACATCTGTCATCAGTTTCTCCGACATCAATGAGTTACTGAAGCCAGCCGCAATGACACATTTGTTCAATGGGATCATTCTGTGGCTCAAACCTGTGACCTTCACCACCTGGAAGGGCAAGAGCAGCAGGTATATGGAAACACCATTGTTCCTGTGATAGTGGGCCATGTCCCAGTCACCCATTGATGGCTGTACACCAAAATCATGAAACTCACTATCTCAGAGCACAGTGGGGGGTCCCTTCACCTCACAGCTCAGTAGGGGTCTCCACCAGACAGCACCATAGCGTTGTATAATGCAGCTCACCAGCACCATCGTTACTACGATGGTGTGAATGGTAAAGGGGGTAATTAACTGTGGCTTTACTTGCAAGGCCCACGTTCTGAGAAAGAATTTTTATAAAATGATCTTGTTTCTTATCTGTGATTGAGAGATAGCAGGAACTGAAGAAGGGTCTAGGCCCGAAACGTCAGCCTTCCTGCTCCTCTGATGCTGCTTGGCCTGCTGTGTTCATCCAGCTCTACACCTTGTTATCTCTTATCTGTGATTGTCAGCTCACCAAATGAGTGGGTTCTTAATGCTGATGTTTACCAGTCAGCAGTACCTTCTGAGCACATGAAAATATAAAGAATGCCATTTCAGATTGCATTTTCTCTTTCTCCCTCCGTCTGCAAATACCACAATATCAATACCTCCTTCCCTTACCTAATAACACAAAGGAGTACACTTTTCTCAAACAATATCACAATTAGTGCCTGGTCAAGCTTTTGTGAATTATCTGTTAGATTTTCATTCACTCAGGTTCCTGTTCAATCTGTTTTACTTTAACCCAGAGCTGGGCTTTGCTGATGAAGCAGTTCTGTTTCTGGGGGTGTACTGGAGAAGCCTGAACATGAGATTGAATCCCATCATGTCACCTGGGAATATTTAAATTAAATAAACCCAGATGATAAAGCTCATCACTGTGATGGTGACTGTGAAACTATCATTGATTGTTGTAAATGTCTGTCTGGTTCACTAATGCCCTTTAGAGAATGAAACTGGCCTCCTTACCTGATCTGGCCTACACTTCACTCCAGGCCCACAGCAATGTGGCTGACTCTTACCTGCCCTCTGAAATGGCTGAGGAAGCCACTCAGTTACACTGAGGTGGGTAAAAGTGCCCACTTTGCCACTGATGCCCAGATCTTGTGATTGATCAACAAAGGCAAGCTCCACAAGACTTGTTCTGTGCCAGGAACTCCCTTTGTCAGCATCCTTCAGTCTCTTTGTTTCACGTTCAGCACCACTGACATACGGTTAATATTGCGATTGGTTTCGTTCATAATTCAGCAGTGAATAATAAAGAGACAGAGGTCTCCCAGCTACACTTACAACTGTGAGAAAGAAATATGATTTTCAAGCAAGTTCCTAATACCCACTGCCTAGTAACAAATTCTTTCCCACAAACGGGGCAGCATGGTGGCTCAGTGGTTAGCACAGCTACCTCACGGCGCCAGGGACCTGGGTTTGATTCCACCCTCGGGTGACTGTCTGTGTGGAGTTTGCACATTCTCGCCGTGTCTGTGTGTGTTTCCTCCGGGTGCTCCGGTTTCCTCCCACTGTCCAAATATGTGCAGGTTAGAGTGGATTGGCCGTGCTAAATTGCCCCATAGTGTTCAGGTTAGGTGGGTTATAGGGAGATGGGTCTGGGCGGGATGCTCTGAGTTTGGTGTGGACTTGTTGGGCCGAATGGCCTGTTTCCACACTACAGGAATTCTATGATACACACAGAAACTGACAAGTACAAACAGACAGATACTATTGCAAATACACACACTTACATAAAGCTATAGAAGTGCATATGTACATCCATGCACAAACCTCCAAATACACACACACGCAAATACAGACTGACTAGCTACACGCTGTACACAGACATAAACACGCACATCCACATGTACCGACATAAATGCACACACATACACAACACGTTACGGCTTCTGAACAACAGCAAACATCTGAAATTTGGAACCGCAATCTGATCTTTCCCTCCAGCACAACCCCAGCCATTCCCACCTCGTTTTAAACCTGGGGAAAGAGAAAAGGGTGGGCAACTGAGAGAGACAGGAGATGATGAATGTTTCTCTCACCTGCAGAGACGAAGAAAATGCCCGCACTGAGAATGATGTTGTGCCGAGTTTTGTAGAACTCACTCGCCGCGATGCAGAGCCCCCCCATAAAGAGCAGGATGACGCTGAGAATAGGGAAGATACTGGATGCTCGCACAGCACCTGGGAGGTGAGAGGAAGGGATTGAGTGGAATCAAAATCAGGGGGAGAAAGAGAGCGAGAGGGAGAAACGGAAAGAGAAAAAGAGAATAAAAGAAACGTTGAGATAATTTATTCTTGTTTTAGCAGCCCAGATGCGCTGATTCACAAAACCGAACATTTCAGATTACCTGTAAACAAATTCTTGTTATTTCTTGGAGGTCTGTGCGTTATATTTCAACTCTGACATCTTCATTCCAGTCAATGCACTCAGTCTACTGACTTAGTCAAAGTCAAATTTGGTTACACCGTATGGGACTGACCCTGCAGCAAAACCATTGACTGTGGCTGAACCAGAAGCTACTGTCACTCAACCTCAATGTTAACTCAACAATCCAACCAAAACCCATAGGAGGGGCCACGAAGAACTCCCAAGAAACCCTCTGAATGTGAAGTCCACCCCACTCCTGGTGGGGGATGGCGTGGTGATCCAGGATCACTCACAGCAGGTGGAAGTTGTGGGGTTGCTGGAGATCAAAGGGATTTAAAAACCGAAAGAACTGCGGATGCTGTAAATCAGGAACAAAAACAGAAATTGCTGGAAAAGCTCAGCAGGTCTAGCAGCATCTGTGAAGGAAAAAAATCAAGAGTTAACGTTTCGGGTCCGGTGACCCTTCCTCAGATGTTATCTTCACAGATGCTGCCAGACCTGCTGAGTTTTTCCAGCAACTTCTGTTTTTGTTCCTCAAAGGGACTTACCCCATTCCTGCTTCATTACAAACATCAGGGAGCAGTGAATTTTAGACAAGGCATAACATTGACTGTAATAAACACTGTCCCTCAAAGCCTGTAGGAAAGAGGAACTGAGAGGGGAGCCTCAAGCTGATCCTGGCTCTCTGTGGGACAAGTTAAAGAAATAATTTGAAACTGGGGACAATGTTGCACTAACCTGGCTTGTATCACCTGGAAGCTAGTACATTCGATCAAATGGTGGATTTAAAAAGTTAAAAAGGATTAAATGGAGAATTTGGTGGTGACAGCCAAACCATTCAGCAATGAAATCAGGAAACAATTTTCCACACATAGGTAAGTAGGAACCTGGAATTCTCTTCCCTAAAATCCTTTGGTGACTGTCTGTGTGGAGTTTGCACATTCTCCCTGTGTCTGTGTGAGTTTTCCACCGGGTGCTCCGGTTTCCTCCCACAGCCCAAAAGGCTGCGACAAATGATACTTCCAAGGCTTTCATCAAAATGTTCTTGTTGGGTAAGGGTAAGAAAGAATATGGAAATTTGAGTTGAATTATAGATCATCCAATTGAATGGCAGAACAGACTTGAGGGGATGAATGGTCTGCTCCTGTTTCTCACTTCATTCCTAAATGGAGCCGAATGTTGCACTGTCCCATGAAGTCACTGAGGTTGAGAGTGGGTGAATGGTAAATGTGGGATTATGGTGACCCGATGCTCCATTGCTTATAGAGATCACGGTTAACACGATGAGTGTGGCTGGCTCACTGAGCTATTGGCAGTTCATATTCCACCATCTCCACCTGCCTGCCATTGTTGCTAATGTCAAAGGCAGCAGCGTTTAATGTTCAGCAAGGTGCAATCTAAACACATTCCTCTAGAAAGGCTGGTGGCAGCACATTCTACAGGGAACTGGAAAAATACCAGAAAAAAATACAACAATGTACACATCTAGGGAAAGCAGAGGGGCATTGTGGGGCTAATTGGGTAACATTTCCAAAGAACCAGCAGAAGCATGGTGGGTGATTGATCTCCTTCTGTACTGTATGAATTAACAGCATGACAAATTGGGCCATTTGTTGATTGAGTTACAAACTGGAGAGTTTTGCTTTGATTGCAACATTCTTTCGTGACATCACATGGTCTGGGGTGGATGCCAAATGTTGGTTCAGAGTGACTCCTTCGTTGTAAAATAGTCCAGTGCAAATAGACAGTAATGATTGGCCAGGGGACAACCAGACTCATTAGCAGCAATAGTTTCAACCAATTCCTTGTGCTCCCTGATGTAACTAAAGCTCTTGCTGGTGTAAGTGATTTGCAACTCAACCACTGCATTGATTATTCAATGGACTGTAGGTTTTGTGTTTCCCTTGCTGGATGCACATGTCTCTTTTCAATATTGGAACAGCTTCCATTGGATTACGTATCGCTTCATCATTAGCCCATTGTGCATCGTTTGCAATAATCAGTTCACAGAAACAGGAGGGGGCTATTCAGCCTCTCTAATATGATATCCCCCCAGTAGATCATTCCTGTCTCAACCCCATTTTTCTCCCTACTCCTTGATTCCTTTACCCAAAAATCGATCAATTTTCAGTGTTGGAAGCTCCAGCTGTCCCCCAGTATCCACAGTTTTATTGGGGGAGAGAAATCTGCATTTCAATGACCCTTTGTGTGTGAGGCAGCTAATTCCTGATTTCATCTCTGAACAGCCCATGTCTGAATTTGAAGCAGTGTATTGGTCTCTGATGAGCAGTAATATGAGCATTGATTATCTTTATCGTCACTGGTAAGGTGTGGGGGTTGGTTGGGAGGAGGGGCGAAAACAGTAAGGATGTGGGAATGGTCACCAACCCTCACTGGGCCTGGGGAGAGTCTGGAATAGGGTTTAAACACCGGACCATACATCCCAGCGATAGAAAAGCTGCCATGACGTAAACACTCATTGGTCTTTCAAAGGGGTAGGAGCATCAAGATTTTTTACGGAGGGGTCTCATTGGCTCAGCAAGTTGTACAGTGAATATCTAAGTAACATTTTCCTGAAATGTCTGTGCCTCATGTCCTTCTTACCAACATTCCCTCTGAGCGTGCAGGTCCCACTCTCACCAATCAGTGTGCCAAAGCACATGCTTACAGTTTCAGAAACCACTGCTGCTCACAGACCTCAAAGCTCTGCTCAGCAGCAAGAGAAACAAGATGGAATGGAACTTCTTACCTGGTCTGGCCTACATGTGACTCCAGACCCAGAGCAATGTTGTTGATTGTTGACTTTTGTTTTGCTCATTCATAGGATGTGAGTGTCACTGGCTGGGTCAACATTCATTGCCTGTCCCCACTTGTACCTTGAGAAGGTGGGGGTGAGCTGCCTTCTTGAACCACTGCAGTCCATGTTAGGAAGGGAATTCCAGAAGTTTGACCCATGATGATATATTTCCAAGTCAGGATGGTGAGTGGCTCGGAGGGGAACTTGCAGGGGGTGGTGTTCCCATGTATCTGCTGCCCTTGTCCTTCTAGATGAAAGTGGTTTTGGGTTTGGAAGGGTCTGTCTAAGGATATTTGGTGAATTTCTGCAGTGCATCTTGTAGATAGTACACCCTGCTGCTACTGAGTGTCGGTGGTTAATGGAGTGGTTGTGATGCCAATCAAGTGAGCTGCTTTCTCCTGGACGGTGTTAAGCTTCTTGAGTGTTGTTGGAGCTGTCTTTCATCCAGGCAAGTGGGGAGTATTCCATCACACTCCTGACTTATGCCTTGTCAATGATGGACAGGCTTTGGGGAGTCAGGAGGTGAGTAACTCTTTGTAGAACTCCTAGCCTCTGACCTGGCATCACCAGCTAGGCCAGCATTTCTTGCCCATGTCAAATTGCCCAGAGGGCATTTAAGAGTCAACCACATTGCTGTGGGCCTGGAGTCACATGTAGGCCAGACCAGGTAAGGATGGCAGATTTCCTTCCCTAAAAGACTTTGGTGAACCAGATGGGTATTTATTGATTTATTCATTTGTGGGATGTGGGTGTCATTGGTTGGGCCCAGCATTTATTGCCCCTCCCTAGTTGCCCCTTGAGAAGGTGATGGTGAGCTGCCTTCTTGAACTGTTGCAGTCCATGTGCTGTGAGTTGACCCGCAAAGCCCTTAGCAAGGGAATTCCAGGATTTTGACCAAACAACAGTGAAGTTACAGCGATATATTTCCAAGTCAGCTTTTACAACAATTGACAATGGTTGCACGGTCACTATTAGACCAGCTTTTTAATGAATTGAAATTTCCTCAGATGTCATGCTAGGATTTGAACACCTATCCCTAGAATTAGCCTAGCAATCTGGACTACTATTCCACTGCCTCCACTCTTAATGATAGCTTCTAATCAACCTGTTCAGAGATGATATTACCCACTTCTGATGCAAGTGTAGCTTGAACCCTGGTCTCCTGACTCAGAGGTAGGGATACTACCACTGCACTGCAACAGACATCCCATTCTGTCAGATAGTGACATGTTTATAATTATTTTGCTTTTATATTTAAATGCCACATTGTTCTATTAACATGGATGACGTGGACTACAGTGTTTCAATAAGGCAACTCACCACCACATTCTCAGGGGTAGTTTGGTAGGGTAATAAATGCTAGTCCAGCCAGCAATGCCCACATCCCATGAAGAAATAAAATAATTTTGTCAACTTTAACATTAAGTTCAAACATTTGAGACAAGAGATATTCTGGTTGTTCTCCAGAGGATAGAGGAGTTTAAGTGGAAGTTACGTCATATTCAAATTAATAACAAAACATAAATAAAAGTGCAGGAGTAGGCCATTTGGCCTTTGAGCCTGCTGCACATTTGTTATGATCATGGCTGATCATCCAGTGCAATAGGAGTTTTGATAAACTGGAGAGAGACTTAACTGTCTCCATTGGCAGAAGGGTCAGTAACTAAGGTGGCTCAGTGGTTAGCACTGTTGCCTCATTGCACCAGGGACCTGGGTTCAATTCCACCCTCGGGTGACTGTCTCTGTGTGGAGTTTGCATATTCTCCCTGTGTCTGTGTGGGTTTCCTCCGGGTGCTCTGGTTTCCTTCCACAGTCCAAAGTAGTGCGGGTTAGGGTGGATTGGCTGTGCTACGTTGCCCATACTGTCCAGGGATGTCTAGGCTCAGTGGATTAGCCATGGGAAATGCAGGGTTATGGGGTGGTGGGACTGGGTGGGATGCTCTTTGGAGGATCAGTGTGGACTTGATGGGCTGCATGGCCTGCTTTCACACTGTAGGGATTCTATCCTAAAGGGTACAGATTGAAGGTGATCACTGTGAGATGAGGAGTTGTTATTTTACTCACTGAGCTGTTGTGATCTGGAACACATTGCCTAAAAAGGCGTTGGAAGCTGAGTCAATAGGAACTTTCAAAAGACAATTGAATACAAACTTGAAAAGGACAAAGAAAATTGCAGGAAAATGGCAAGGAACAGGGAGTGGGATTGAGAACTCTGTCAAAGAGCCAGTATAGGTACAATAGGCTGAATGGCCTCCTTCCTTTCTGTATGATTCATTCTGCCATTTTCTGTTGTCAGGTGTTACGGGTTTCATTGGGAAAAGGGGGATCCCAGGAGCTGGAAATGCAATATATCAACTAATTGCGTACTTGCTGCACCAGCAACAAGGATGGCTCACTTGATGTTGGCACTGAGCACCAGAAGTCAGGAACGTTGGCTCCTCTCCCTTCACCAATAATCCGGTGTACTGACCCCGGTTCACAACTGTCACTGTGAGTGAGATCAGCTCAGACAAGGTCCAGGTCTGAACTGGTCTGAGCTCCCAGTTATCTGGAACACATGGGTCTGAGGCTCCCCCAACATCTTTATAAATGTCATGTTTTCACATCTAAGGATTGGTGAACGACACTGGCCCATGAGCATGCAACTCACCCCCTTCCTCCTGCCTTTCTGACGAATCCATGTATGACAGTATAAGTCGCGATGAATGGATTGGGATTAAAAAGGAAGGGAGCTTACGTAAGAAGTATTCAGCAGCATCTGCTTCGTAATCAGTATCTTCTGGGAAGTGGTCGATCTGTTTACATAAACCTTTAAAATTTCCTGTTTTGGGAGAAAGAGAGAGAGAGATGTCAGTTGTGTCTCCCTATCAGAGCAATAAAACACCAGTGAACGAGTCCCTACTCAGTTAAAATTGTGAGCATCATTGCCTCTGTTCTCTGGATAAGGAGATCTTTACATTCACGTTGGGCTCCTCAATTTCACAAGTGATAGAGAGATCAAGTCATACAGCACAGAAACAGACCCTTCAGTTCAACTCATCCATGCTGACCAAGTTTCCCAAACTAAGCTAGTCCCATTTAGCTGCATTTGGCTCATATCCCTCTAAACCTATACAGAATTCCAAAGATTTGCAGAATCACAGAATTATTACGATTCAGAAAGAGGCCATTTGGTCCATCGTGCCTGCTCCATGCTGTACAAATAGCCAAAGAAGGCACTTCCCATCTCAGTCTGAAATGGCTGATCCCTTATCCTGACTGGCTTCTGGAATCTCAGAGATTGTGCAACAGGACACAATGAATGTAAATTCAAACACGTTCAGTGCACATTCGAAGCGATGAGCAAATTGGTCATTTAAATTGTAGGGAGAAGTGTTGCTAATGGCTGTATCTGGAAAATGCAGACCACCACTTATCATAACAGGAGAAGGCTGATAGCCCCCTCAGGCCTGTGCCTCCATTCAATTAGACCATCACTGGACTGTCTCTTAACTCCCTGTCAGCTGCTTCAGTTCTTAATCTTGCCCAAAAAAACCCATCAATTTCAGTTTTGAAATTAACATTTTACAATTTCAATTGGTTCTTGATTTGAAGAGGGGGGCAAGTTTGATTTCCACAACTCTGTGTAAAGTCAATAAATTACCAAATCCACCTGAATCACCCTTTTGTTCCAAACCCTATCAACAGTGCAAAACAATTTCTCTAGATATTGCCTATGGTCTAGGAATAGGTCAACCACTTGCACCTTCACCAGAAGTGTTTAGACAGTGGAGATCAGGGCATCAGAGGAGCAGGAAAGTCAACATTTCAGGCTCCTCTGATGCTGCCTGACCTGCTGTGTTCCTCCAGCTCCACACTGTATTGATTCTGACTCCAGCATCGGCAGTTCTTGCTATCTATAACTGAAAAGCACAATGTTTAAAGGCAGCTATGTATCTTATATTTGTTTTAAACAGTTAAATAAGGCTCTTTCTAAAGAGGCCACTTACTTCTTCTGGCATTTTATGTCATTGTGATTGGGAACACACTAGCAGGTTACAAACAGCAACAGTCTAATTACTGTCTGAGACAACATGCCCCAGTCTCCTGGAGTTTCGGAATTCTCTACCACAGAGCTTGGTCATTGAGAATATTCCAAACAGGAAGCAATCGGTTTTTGGCATCGATGTAATTAAAGGATATGGAAAGTTGAGGTTAAAGTTTATCCACAATCCTGTAATTTAGCACTGCCTAAGGATTTTTGGTGAATTTCTGCAGTATATCTTGTAGATAGCACACACTGCTGCTACTAAGCGTCAGTGGTGGAGGGAGTGAATGTTTGTAGATGTGGCGCCAATCAAGCGGGCTGTTTTGTCCTGGATGGTGTTCTTGAGTGTTGTTGGAGCTGCATCAATCCAGGCAAATGGGGAATATTCCATCACACTCCTGACTTGTGCCTTGCAGGTAGTGGACAGATTTTGGAGAGTCAGGAGGTGAGTTGCTCTGCGCAGTATTCCCAGCATCTGACTTGGTCTTGTAGCCACTGTGTTTATAAGACTAGTCCAGTTCAGTTTCTGAACATTGATAACCCCCGGGATGTTGATAATGGGTGATTCCGTGATGGTGACATCATTGAATGTCAAGGGGCAATGGTCAGATTCTCTCTTGTTGGAGATGGTCATTGCCTAGTATTTGTGTGGCTAGAAGGTCACTTGCCACTTGTCAGTCCAAGACAGGATATTGTCCAAGAGATAGTAAGAACTACCGAAATTTCTGAAGAAGGGTCCCGACCTGAAACATCAGCTTTCCTGCTTCTCTAATGGTGCCTGGCCTGCTGTGTTCCTCCAGCTCCACACTGTGTTATCTCTGAATATTGTCCAAACCTTGCTGCATTTGAACACAGGCTGCTTCAGTATCTGAGGAGTCACAAATGGTGCTGAACATTGTGCAATCATCGGTGGATATCCTCACTTCTGAGCTTATGATGGATGAAGCAGCTGAAGATGGTTGGGCCGAGGGCACTATCCTGAAGAACTCCTGCAGAAATGTCCTGCAGCTGACCTCCAAACACCACAACCATCTTCCTCTGTGCAGTGTATGACTCCAACCAGCAGAGAGATAGCTCCCTAATTCCCCTTATCCGCGGTTTTTGCCAGGACTCCTTGATGCTACAGGCAGTCAAATGCTGGCTTGATGTCAAGGGAAGTTGTGGCTTTATTATGGTGAAGACTCAAATGGCTGAACAAACTTCTCCTGTTCCTGAGAGCCTAATTGACTAAATTCCTTCTGGAAATATTGCTTTTGTTTATTTAAACCAAATGAACAAATCAGGAGCAGGAGGAGGCAAATCAGCCCACTCCCCATTCAATAAGAACCTTGCCAATCTGATTACTACCTCAAATCAACATTTTCTCTTCTGCCTGGGGTGGCAGAACTGACGTATAGAGAGAGACTAAATCAGTTAGAACTGTATTCACTCGAGTTTAGAAGAATGAGGAATCTCTAGAAACCTATAAAATTCTAACAGGACCTGACAGGAAAACGCAGGAAGGATATTCCTGATGACCAGGGAGTCCAGAACCAGGGGTCACAGTCCAAGGATATGGGGAAGGCCATTTGGGACTGAGATGAGAAGAAATGTCTTCATCCAGAGAGTGGTGAGCCTGTGGAATTCACTATCGCAGAAAGCAGTTGAGGCTAAAACATTGAATATTTTCAAGAAGGAGTTAGATATAGCTCTTAGAGCTAAAGGGATCAAAGGATATGGGGAGAAAGCAGGAATACAGTACTTAGTTGGATGATCAGCCATGATTATATTGAATGGTGAAGCAGGCTGAAAGGGCCAAATGGCCTACTCCTGTTCCTAGTTTCTATGTTCCCTGATCATCTTTCCCCACTGTCATTGCTTGACCAGAATCGCTCCAGCTCCCCCTTAAACATTTTCAGGGACTCTGGTTCCTCCACCTTCTCAGGAAGACCACTCCAAAGACTCAGGACCCTCTTTGTTTTAAACGGCTAATTGCTGACTTTTAAACAGTGAGCTCTTTGCAAACAGTCATTACATCGCATAAGACCATAAGATATAGGAGCAGAATTAGGCTATTTGGCCCATCAAATGCTCCATCATTGGATCGTGACTGATATGTTTCTCAAGCTCATTCTCCTGTCCTTACCAATCGATAACTATCTATCTCTGTCTTAAATACACTCAACGACTTGGCCTCCACAGCCCTCTGTGACAATGAGTTCCACAGAGTTCTATAAAGTATTAAAGGTTAAAACCCTTGCCATTCACCTCTGATCCAATTGATTAAACCCCTTCTCCACTCAGCTCCATCTGAGAGACTATCCAAATCAACACATCTAATCTTGTTAATAGAATTCCAATTAACCAGAAACGACTTGAACCAGGGTCATTATAAAATTTCAGATAACTGCCTTCTCTTCTGGTATCTAAATTTGCCAATTGATTCAGGAGCTGTGGGCATCAACAAACCTTTGGGCACTCGATAGCGCCCTGTATTGGCAAAGCAAGCCACTGTGCCACCCTACAACGATCAATAAATCCCTGCTCAGTGCAGTGTGGCAATGTTACTAATCACTGACAGGATATCTGCAGACTATCATTTTCTGAAAAACATGAAACTGGTTCTAATGAAGCTCAGTGTTCGGTGAAAACACTCCAAATGTGGGCAAGACCTTTGCAATATTTGCATATGAGTGAATGATTCGTTCTGTATATTCCATGCAGCGTGCTGAAGCTGGTAGAAGTCGTGCTCAGAGCAAATGTTTTTCAGATCATTGTTTTCTCTTTAATTGGCCAGGGTTTTTAAAGATCTGGTTTCTCTCCCCTCCCAGGAGATTTCATAGCTCCAGGTGGGTGGTGAGATTCTGCATCAAGCTGCAACACGTATCATTAGCAAACCAGGACAGAACAGATCAAACAGCAGGTGGCCCTCTGTTTGTCATTATCATAGGAACAGGAGAGGCCATTCAGCCCTGTGGATCTGATCTGCCATTCTATCAGTTTATAGCGATCTGGATCTCAGTTCCGTTTACCAACCTACTCCTTGATAATGTTGCCCAGTGAAAATCTATCAAGCTCAGTCCTATAAACATCAATTGCAACCCCCCACCCCCCGATCCATTGCTGTTCAGGGAAGAGAGTTTCAGATTTCTAATACCCTTTGTGTCGAATAATGCTTTCTGATTACACTCGTAAATAACTTGGCTTTCATTTTAATATTCTGTTCAACAAATAAAGGAAATAGCTTCCTTGCACCTAGCTTATCAAATATATTTAACATTGGTGTGTGATTCATCGATGTATTTTAATGGCATTTACTTTGGAATTTTCAACTAGTGGCATGTGGGTTTTGTGTGGGTCTGAAGGAATTTAATGATTAACTTGTAAATATTTCTGTAACCATGGAGATGTTTTTAAAGAAGTCTGAGAGAGATAGTTCAGGGAGGCTGATGAGAATTTGTTTACATTAGGAGAGCTCACAAGTGAACAAATGAAACAGTATCATGCATCAATCTTTCAGATGGAAGATTCTATAAATTCTTTTTGAGCTTTTGGATTTGAGTTTTGCAATTTGCAATTTCTTGGATGAAGCTGGATATGCAAAATAGTTGCTCCTGGGAAAAGGAGATTGTTTCAGACTGTTAAGAAAGAGATTACCCCAATGTAAGGAGTTTAGTTTAAAATGTCCAGAGCAGAAGTGTTTGGTTAAAACCGCGAAGGATTATTAGAAGCTATGAAAGTCTAAGCTCAGTTATATGAAAGCTCCAGGAAGAGGATATCAGATTCTCAAGACGGGCAGTTAAAGTCACTGTTAA